CCAACTATGGCCCAACGATAGAAAACCGCGAGTATTATTCATAAATAAGAATAGAAAGAACTCATTTTAGAATATAACAACAGGTTGTTGTTTGTAACAAGATTTCCACGACGTCTAAGGACAACGTTTAAGCGTTGGCGTGCTTTGATTGGTCCGACGTAGTATTATTGTTGCAAGTTTTTTGTTAATTAACCAACAATACTAATTGTTAGCCCAACATTGGGTATTTTGTAGGAAAATTGTCATAATCCTTTTAACGTAGGCCCTTATTTGGACATTTGTAGGCAAAAGAACTAACTATATCCCAACTGATTCCCAACTATTGGAAACTGTTGGTCAACCATAAATGCTACTAGAGTAGTATTTGGTTAATGTTGTGATGGTGGTACATAGTTAAAGTATTAATTACTATTGCATATGGAGCATTCCACGCTAAATCGGACGGTTTGAACAATTTTTTATTTTTTATTTTCTTAATTTTTTGGTATTTATTATTACCCCTCAAAAGAAGCTTCCTGGTCAATTTTGAGATTTTTCTGATCGATGGTTCAAAAAATATCGAATTTAGAAAACAACACTCTTTTTTTGGTTTTATGCTCATAACTTTCTTAATAATGGTCGACATTCAATTATTCTTTCTTCAAAATTTTCGTTTTTAGATGGCATTTATAGAAAAAAATACAAAAAGAAATATTTAAAGTGTTTTTAATCGAGATATTTCAAATTTAAAACTGTGTGTATCCTTCGATTTTATTGAAAATTTTCTATTTGAAACTTCTATTCATCCTGCAACTTTTAAGCTTGGTCCGGTAGTGGGCCTTCCATAATTACTATTTTTTTCCTATTTTTAAAAATTAAAAAACTTTTTTTTCGTTATAAATTCTTATCAGTACCGATATTTGACACTGTATATTTTTTTTTTACTTATTATAAGTTAATTTCGATATTTTCTTGTTCTGAGTAGGGATTTAAAAGTTGTAGGAAGACTCGCGGCATCTGTCCCTATAGTAGGGAAAACAGGAGGTGCCACAACACACCAAAATTATCCATTTTGAGTAAACAGGTAAACCAGTAGATACCAAAATGAAAGTAGTAACCCGTTTTTGGACCAATTCTTCTAATATATATTTTTTGGTTTTAGTTTATTACAATTCTATTTAATTAATTTATTATTATGTCAACCTATCAAATGCATTATTATATAAACGTTATATATCATAAGTGGTTCAGCAAAAGTCCAATAAAGTTTATTTCATTTTAAAAGGATAAATAAAATCAATAATAATTATATCTACATAATGGTACCTTGACATTTACAGTCTTCACGGTGATGAACGTGACATTCAATGTCACTGCGGTTCGCAAGCCGCTGCTTCACATCACGTGAAAACAGACCTCGAGACTTGCACGAGAAAAGGAGGCGTCACGTGTAACAGAAACAGTTAAGAGAAAGCAAAAACAACGTGTTCTTATTAAACAAAAAAACGGTCACAATCGAAAAGATGTGTCGTTAGCTGAAAACCACTAACGTCACCATTTCCATATAATTTACTAAAGTATAGCGTAGTGGATAGTAGAATGTGGAGTTTTCAATGTCACGTGGGTGGTGAGGGTCAGGAACGATCTTGTTAATTCTCGGCTCGATTTTTACATTGCCATCGGACGGCCTCGATTCGCTCGATCGGTGAAAGCACCGAGGGTTACTCTCTGATCGAAAGTGCGCGTCCGCAGAGATCTCGCAAGGTGACCGGCAAATTCATTCGACAAGTGAATGAACGTGTGTGAAAATAAAAGAGAAGCCGTCACGCACCACCGTACGGTTCATTAATCTTCTCTTTGTATTTATTATCAGACGATTAAGAATAGATGTAATTAAACTGAATAAAAATGAAAAATACTATACTATATGTGATTGAGAAGAGTGACGTAAATCAAACATTCACTCGTGTGCGTTCTAGATTCTCATTTTTACTTGGATGTATCCATGAAGACTGTATAAGGAGATCCAACTCCATACGAAAGTTACTAGAAAACTGTTAGCAAAATCCCGAGCTTGAAGTTATGAATATTTCTACCACTCGCGGCGCTAGTGTACACAGACTACGGTATATATATGTCATATGTGTATGTATTATCATATACAGGGTGTCCCAAAAATGTTGTAACACCTTGAAAGGGGTGGTTCTGAAGGTGATTTGAAACAACTTTTTCCTTAGCGAAAATGTTGTCCGAGGCTTCGTTGAGGAGATATTAATGGAAAACACTGACCAATCAGAGCGTGCGTATACTGTTGGAGCGGCCGCGGTACCGTAGGTTACGCGCTAAGCGGTCGCGCTCATACGCTACCGCGGACGCTCCAACGGTATACGCACGCTCTGATTGGTCAGTGTTTTTCGTTAATATCTCCTCAACGAAGCCTCGGACTTCAAATCGCCTCTCGAACCACCTATTTCAAGGACCTCCAACATTTTTGGGACACCCTGTATATATATATGATAATACATACACATATGGCATATACATATATATCGTAGTCTATGCTCACTTGCGCCGCGAGTGGTAAAAATATTCATAACTTCAAGCTCGAGATTTTGATAACACTTCTACACTACATAGTTGGAACTCCTCATACAGTGCACTGACCCACTTATTGAATTTATTTCGTTCAGATATCGCATGCTAATAAAAAAAAAGGACGAAAGACAGCTAAGGTAATGGCTAATTTCATTGACCACTGTTTTCACAAATGTGTTCAACGTTGCACAAATTGGCATAGTATTAGCAAAGTACTTATTCCGTCGCTTTATTTAATGGAAGATTTTAACAAAATGTCTTCATTGTTTTTTGATTAAATAGCCTATTTCGTTTTAAATTGACCACGCCAATTTTACGAAAATTTTGTAACTTTAATTTTGTAATTTTGCAATTTTTTCAATTTAAATCAAAGTGCAATTTAGGAAGTTACAGCAACTTTGATATGTTCTAAGAAGCGATATTATGAACCGTTAAAAAAAAAGTTAAAATTATTGACCACGCAGTTACTAAAATATAGTTCATTAAAATCTGAAACTTACCGTAGAAAAGATGCATAATAACAGTCAGCGTTGTTGCCACAATTATTTTTCGAGTATTACGAATGTGTGTGAGAGCAGTAAGAGCGTATTTTACAAAAGTTTTCAATTATACTTTAGAACGTGACTATCTCGAAACAACTACCTCGTAGGCACCACTTTGGATCCACGATGTGTTTGTGGGGTTAGAACAGTTGAACCAACTAAACCCCATATTACTAGACTAGGGAATTCAGCACCTAGGGATTTCCCGCATTCGTAACATAAAAGCAGTGATGGGCAAAACATTAGGCTTCGAATGAATGTAAAGTTTACTGATATGTTTGTCTCGTTTCATCTTTTGAACATTTTTCTGTTATTGTTATTTGTTATTAAAGTCTTCGTTGTTTATTTGCGTCTTGATTTGTATATAGTTAATGGTCCTTGTAGGGTATCCTAAGTACGAAAATCCTACATGTTCTAAATGTGTTCAATAAAAGACAAATATGGATAAACTTGAGTAAGGAAGTGTAAAAAAACAATGTATTTATATGATAACCCAAAGAATATGTATAATTTTGTACCACATATTGGTGCGATGAGTGACTGAAGATCGCTCGCACCTTAAATAAATAAAGTATAAAGTATAAATGTGTTTGCAAAAGATATTTTAGTAGATCTAAAAGAAGAATTTTGGAATAAGTTCAAAGAAAAGGCAATGGAAATAGGAAGAGAGAAGGGAGCTCTCTTTATGAGAGAAATAGGACCAAATCACAAGAGAGCAAGATATAAACCTTAGATTATAGTGGTTACACCTGATCCTTGAGATCGTCCTTATTGTTGATCTGTCTAATTTATCTTTGTATTTTATAAACCAAGACCATTGCTTCCAAGGAAAGGGATAGTGGAAGATTCAACTTGTCCATGTGGCCAGGAAGATGAAGACATAGATCACATCTTATTTGAATGTGGTTTGTACAATGTTGAACGAAGCACAATATGGACAAAACATCAAAAAGAAATTGAGAAAGTGGGGAAGTCAGCAATCGAGTTAATAAAACTACATAAGGTTAAAGTATATAAAACCTTGAACACATTTCTAAAAGATATCAATAAGATATTATAAGAAAAATCAACAAATGGAAAAGAAAAAGTATCGGATAATCGGAAGGAGAAAAATAATACTTCGTTAAGAATGAAGACTTAATAAACCAAAACTCAAAAGTACAATAAAAGTTCCTATTAAGAAAAAAAAAACCGAGTAGGTTAAGCTACATACAGTATTATACATGTACATTATGAATAAAAAGAGAGCTCAATATGAAGACTGAGGATTATTAAGTTGTAAGGAAAAAGTATATGTAAAAGTATATATCTCTTTAAAAGGTTCTATTTTTGTTTGTTATACAATAAAATATATATATACATATATTATATACAATGTATAATATACGAGTTACTATTCCTACATAAAGTTTATTAGCAAACTATAGTAAAGAGTATGACAACCTCGACTTACAAATTAAAAAGTTGATTGTTTTTATTTTCCTTATTGCGATTAAAGTTAAGTAGTGCGAAATACTTCTACGAATGTACGCATTTTAATTTAATAAACAAACAAACAATAAATGCGTTCGCCATCTAACGAAGGCGTAACCAACTAATACGATATCTAGATGCAAACTATACGGCAAAATTATATTGTTTTTATACCGCAAGTCGACCCAAATACAACCACATAACTTCTACTCATCAAAGATAATTCTATATCTGTGAATTGATGTCTCTAGTTTGGTCTCAAATGCCAGGTCTAGTCTCATGGGGCGATTTATTATGAGACAAATTGATAAATATTTTTTTTTTTCTAAAGTCACTTAAAAAATAATAAAACAGAACAAGCAGTATCCATGTAGTCCATACGGAAAATGAACACCTTTCTTTTTTGTTTAGGAAATGCCGAGCGAAAAGTCGTGTGTTACTACACAAACTGGTCCATCTATCGGCCGGGAACTGCGAAGTTCTCGCCGCAGAATATTAACCCGTACTTGTGTACTCACTTGATCTATGCTTTCGGCGGCTTCACCAAGGACAACGCTTTGAAGCCCTTCGACAAATATCAGGACATCGAAAAAGGTATAAATATGAACGATAAGAATCACTAGAAAGTCGTATTGAATACGGAGAGCACCTGTTGGTAAAACAGTACTTCGTCATAGAATACAGGAGGTTTTCTGTCGATAGAACAGATCCCTATTACTAGTGATTCTATTTTTGATGGGCAAAACCCTAGGCTTCGAATAAATCTGAAGTTTGCTGATATGCTTGTCTCGTTTCCTCTTTTGAACATTTTCCAAAGAGGTGAACAAGACAAACACATCGGCAAACTTCAGATTTATTCGAAGCCTAGGGTTTTGCTATCTCTGTTCTATTTTACTGGTACAATATATATTTTTTTATTGCTTTTATTAAAGTAATTGGTCATAAATCTGACCTTCTCACTATTTCGTTACATTAAATACGTACACTTACAGTACATAAAATCTGTACATATATCAACATTTTCAGACTTTTACGTTGCAAAGTTGTACATTATTAATTTTCTTACATCCTACTTATAAACTAATTATCATTTTTCTTTATTTTATGAAAGTGTGTCCGGATTTATGTTATCTGTCCGCTTTAAATCTAATTGGTAATCTATTAATAAGTATGTATAACAAAATATATTTGAGTTTGTGTTTGCCCTATTTCTGTCTTAGATTAGACATTTGTATTAAACAAAATAAAATATACATCTTTCTTTTCTTATTCTGTTAACGACTTAACAATTAATTGTTATACCTAGGTAGAATATATATTTTACTTATTTTTACTAACTTACAACTGGTAAATGACCAGACCCTTATTACCATAAAAGTTTTTAATACTATCTAGCAGTGCCATAATGAACTATAGTAGTCAGAAGCATAACGTAGGTTACATTAATTTTAAATAGTATTTTGTAATAAAATACGTCTAATTTAATTATTTTAAAAATTAGTTTAAGTTGAAGAAAATAATCTTAATAATTTGATCGACTCTAAACACAAATATTTGGTCAATTGTCTTGTAAAAATATATTTTACCAATTAATTAACCAAATACTTTACCGGTAAACGACCGGACAATTGTCCGTCTGAATCGTTCGTTATTACAGCGTATAGAATATACTGCTGTCGGTAAAATAGCACGTTCCTTTAGAATACATGACATACACGTTCGGTAAAACAGCACGTTCCCTTAGAATACATGACATACACGATCGGTAAAAGTAAACAAATGCTGGGTAAATAAAAACTTAAACTGGCGATATTTTCGCAGGTGGATACGCCAAGTTTACCGGCTTGAAAACATATAACAAGAACCTGAAGACCTTACTAGCTGTCGGTGGCTGGAACGAAGGTTCCAGCAGGTTTTCTCCAATGGTGGCCGACCGCGAGAGGAGACGAGAATTCGTGAAGAATTCGATCAAGTTCCTTCGAAAAAATCACTTCGACGGCCTCGATCTTGACTGGGAGTACCCTGCCTTCAGAGACGGTGGAAAGCCTCGAGACAAGGACAATTACGCCAATTTGGTGCAGGTAGAGTTGTTCCCCTTGTTATCGTAATACCTTATATCGATAAGTAATCTTATGTCTATAAATAGGTATTTTAATTATCCTTGCAGGAGCTCAGAGAGGAGTTCGACAGGGAGTCCTCAAAGACCGGAAGACCAAGACTGCTGTTGTCGTTGGCGATGCCAGCCGGTATCGAGTACATCGACAAAGGCTATGACGTACCCAGGTTGAACGAGTATTTGGACTTTATTAATCTTCTCTCGTACGATTATCACTCGTCCTACGAGCCGGCAGTGAATCATCACGCCCCTTTGTATCCCTTGGAAGAGGACAACGAGTACAACTATGACAGCGAATTGACGATTGTAAGATGTTAACATGGCTATATACAGGGTGTCCCAGAATTAGTGTCAGAACCGAAAATGAAGGGTAGCTGAGACGATCCTGAACCACAATTTCCTTTGCAAAAATATCAGATGGTGCTCCGTTTTTGAATTATTAACGAAAATTCACCGACCAATCATATCATGTAAGATGTTTACATTATATATATACCGCACGCCCAGAATTGGCAGTGATTTCCGTCAGTGGGGTGCGGAGAAATCTGTCGCATGGTAGCGAGCAGGAGGCGTATAGCGCAGTGATGGACATTCGTGGGATTTTTCCTTCGAGGAATTCCTTTCTGCGCATGCGTAAGCTGACGTCACAGCTACATGTCGTCTGTTACCATACATGTATTCGAACCGCCAGAGGAGGTGCATTTAAGGGGCCTGTGCAATTTTCTCGCGTTTTTAACGGACAAATTAAGTACAAGAGTGTTAGTGTTCGTGAGTGTAATATTAGAGAAAATTAAAAAAAAATGATAATAAACAGCAGCCGTTCACGTCAGGAATCATCGAGGAAAAGAAGAGGACATTATATTTTGTTCCTTACTGGGATCCAATGGTACCCTAAATTCTAAGTAAGTGTATACAACAGTGAAGACTGCAACGATCGCTGCAATGCGCATGATCAGGAAAAATCTCACGAATGTCCATCATTGGTATAGCGCGTAGTGGGTACACCACGTGGTATCACGAGTTTCTCACTGCCAACTCTGGGCATGCGGCGAGTAAACATTGCTAGACAAAACAGTTGAGTGTAAATCACGAAACGAATTTTTGGGACAACCTAATATTTAGCGTAGCCTCGGGGATGCCTTCATCGCTGCTCTGGCAGCGTTAGTAATAGGGAGAACAAGCTTTTCTCGATCCATTGTAGTAAATTTGAAAACTTTTCAGGATTATACGATCGAGTACCTACTGAAGAAGGGTGCCTCACCAGAAAAGATCATTTTAGGCATCCCAACGTACGGACGATCTTACACGCTCTTCAACGAGGACGCAACCGATTTAGGATCACCGGCAGATGGCCCTGGAGTCGAGGGTGACGCTACTCGAGAGAAGGGCTATCTAGCTTATTACGAGGTCAGTTTTTAATTGGAATTGGTTGCATACTAATATGGTATCGTGAAAATGCGGAGCGACTATTTGTACGAATAAAAGTGTTAAGGGCCGATCGATGATATGAAGATTTAAAGAATGGTTATACTTATACTGTGGTACCATCGTCACCTGTATCACGCGAACATATTTTTAATAGCTTCCACATTATCCACTTATTTTTAAAGCTGGTACTCTGGAATTCCCTTAAGGGGGCACTACACGTTGTGTTCGGTGTCGGTTTTAGCAATATTGGCGCCATGGTCAGTAATCGACGGTGGTGCAGCGTCATGTAGCGAAGTTTTATATGATTTAAACGTATGACCTGCAAAGTGGCGAATGTATATAATGCCGTAAGCTTAGCCGTATTAAATGCAATGTTATATGAACCTCTTAGGGGGATATTTCGACAACGGTGTGATTCATTCGAGATACCGAATGATGAATTCATCAAATGAATAAATATATGTAATTAATTATTCGAGCACGCACCTTAATCAGATTTGCGAGAGCCTCGCAGCCTCGGACGACTGGGAAGTGGTACAGCCGAATTCTAATGCGATGGGCCCCTACGCGTTCAAAGGAGACCAGTGGGTGGGCTACGATGACGAAAACATAGTACGACTGAAAGCCAAATACGCGAACGAGAAGCACTTGGGTGGAATTATGTTCTGGACGATCGACAATGACGACTTCCGCGGCAAATGCCACGACCGGCCATACCCGTTAATAGAAGCGGCCAAAGAGGTTCTTTTAACCGACAGCACGTAAGAATACCTAAATCGCGAACCTCCTACGCTAGATATCAAAAGTATACGAACGCTTGAATTTTAGAGGTTACAGTATCATAAGGTATTTAGTTGTTCCATGGATTTATTTAATGCAGGATTTTAACAAAACTTTACTTGATTGTTATTCGACTATGACCTTGATTTTGACATATGTTGTCAACGGCACCCTCCTGAGTAACTTTTTCTAGTAACTTAACCGTCGCTTACTGCTTATTAAAAAGTTACTAACAAAAAAGGTCGTAAGTTAGGTTAGGTTATACATATGAACACGCTATACAGGGTGTCCCAAAAATGTTGTAACACCTGGAAAGGGGTGGTTCGGGAGGTGATTGGAAACAACTTTTTCCTTAGCGAAAATGTTGTAGGAGGCTTCGTTAAAGAGATATTAACAGAAAACCCCGACCAATCAGAGCCCGCGTATACCGTTGGAGCGCCCGCGATAGCGTACGAGAGCGGCCGCTTAGCGCATAACGTTCGTTACCACGGCCGCTCCAACGGTATACGCGGGCTCTGATTGGTCGGGGTTTTCTGTTAATATCTCTTTAACGAAGCCTCCTACAACATTTTCGCTAAGGAAAAAGTTGTTTCAAATCACCTCCCGAACCACCTTTTTGAAGGTGTTACAACATTTTTGGGACACCCTGTATATAACATATTGTTGCATACTTTTACTTCTGAAATTTTTTAAAAGATACAAACAATCGGATTATCACTCGCCAAATTAATATTGAGTGATTGATTCAAATGGATCGAATTTACGGAGTGCGTGCGTTTCGTCTCGGAATTGTCAGTAGATTCATCGGTAGGACTGCATCTGACAATTCCTGCCCTAGACGCGTTGTTTTTTTGATGTATGAATTTCGAAATCGTGACGATTGGTTGAGTCTCGATATTACGACTCTTTTTCGACCAACGCACGTCGAGAACGATAAATAATTGGTTGAGTTCCGTGTTGAACTCTATTCGACCAATCATTAGTAATTCGATACATCAATTGGCTGAATCCAAAGATTATTCGGCACTATTCGACTGATTGATTATGGAAAACGAAGATGGTTGACGAAGTCTCGATGATCGAACTCAGTCAATCAATCTTACGTTGAATGCTGTACAATCAGAATAAGCCGAATATCAAGGATTCTAACGACCAATTGATACGTGATTTTAATTCAGGACCGTGTCTGATATCGCGTTCATTTACCTTAACACGAAAACTTTTTGATCAGAACCGTGGTCTAATAAGCTCGATCGTTTTCGGTCAAAGGTTTTTGAAAAACTGAACAACTGCAGCTCGATTCGATTATTTCGTTGACCCCTCTTGAGAAAAGTGGAGGAAATCGAGTGAATTGCATTCAAGTATGCGGGGAACCCTGTCAATGGGTTAAGACAAATGAATTCAACATGAATGAAACGAGAAATATATTAATTCTGTCTTTCTCTGGTTAGCCGTGTCAACGTCTAATCGATATATTGATTTTTCGGAACAGCTGATTCGTCGCTATTTGGTTAACGACAGGCTCTCGAAATCAAGGATCAAGACGGTTGAACGACTCTGTGTGAAACAGAACAATATAAAAACACACTATAACGGTTTAAACTTATTCCAAGAGCTTGTAAAAGAAAAATGGGGCTTCGGGGGTTTGCCCCCAATGGGGCGGAGCCCCCAACAATGAGTACTGCAGCGCACCACGCGAATGTGTACAGAGTTAGCCTGAGAGGTGTTGATAGTTTCGCGGGGGTCAAGAGGACGGAGTCTCTTGGCTCCGGCAGGGGGTCTAGGAGGGGGGGTCAGCCCCCC